CTGAGAATCTGAATTTGCTGAGCAGTTACCCATTAATGGCAAGAGTATAATTTGGTACAACCACTTTGGAAAGCAATTTGATAAAATCTAGTAAAGTTGACAATGCACATTCCCCAAGCAACTGCACAGGTAGACCATGGAGTTTCACACATATATATAAGGATACACACACACACACACACACACACACACACACACACACACTCTCTCTCTCTCTCTCTCTCTCTCTCTCTCTCTCTCTCTCTCTCTCTCTCTGAGGGTGCCAGAAAAGTGTATACACATGACTTGTATTCATCTTTTGTTATTGGTATGTATTATTACAATTTTAATACAGTTTTTTCCTTTCTTAAAATGTGTATACATTTCTCTCTCTCTCTCTCTCTCTCTCTATCTATCTATCTATATATGTGAATAGCATGTTCATAGCGATATTTTTGGTTATACAAAAAAGTCTAAACAACCTAAATGTCTACTAATAGGGAAGTGGATAAAGAATGGGTGTTGATATAATAAAAAATTATATTGCAGGGCCGGCCGAGTGGCGCGATGATTAAGAGCTGGCTTGAGACGCCAGAGGGCCCCGGTTCGGATCCCACATATGAGGGCCAGTGACACTGCCCTCCACAGCTAAGATGCTGAACAACAGCTCAACCTGGAGCTGGGCTGCTGTGAGTCGCCGGCGACGGCGTAGGCTGCAGCCCCTGTGGCAGTGGGTTGCCATGGGCTACCGTATGTAGCCAGCAGCCAGCGTGAGCAGCCAGCAGCCGCAGTGAGCGGCCGTCCAGAAGCCGGTGACTGATCTGCCTCCCCCGGGAAGAGCGCAATGATGGTGCCAACTTGGGCCAGTGAAGCAACGTCCTCCACAACTAGACTGAAGAACAAAACGACAGCAACTTGTCTGTTCCCCTTCCCCCAATTACCCAGCACTGTTCCCAACCCCCCAATTCCCCAATTAAAAAAAAATCGTAAAAAAAAATTATATTGCAGTGAAAACATGAATGAATTAGAGCTGTAAGTATCAACATACATGGGCTTCATAAACATAATATTGAGGAAAGAAAGCAAGATACTGAAAAATACTCCTTGGATTGTTGCAAGCCTTTAGTTAACTTCCAATGTTCTGAAAAATTTGATTTTGACAATTTCCCAGTGTTCTTGTTGCTTTTATGGAGTGAACTTTCAGAAATCTTTACTCTGTCATTCTGGAAGTTGAGGTCACACATTAATTTATATGCTGTATTATAAAATATATGCACCACATGTATATTCCATCTCTTTTTGACTAGAATTCAATGCATACCAAATCTTTTGCTTACAATTTTACATATCTGAAGATTGAAAGAATTCTTCACAGACCAGCTCTACCTTTATACATTTCAAACTTATTTCTCCTCCAGTCCTTACATACTGCCAATGCTTGGCACTGTAGGATGTACATACTGTGCTAAGATCTCTGGCCCTGCATCTTTGCATTACAGCATAGAGTTGGCACATTGGGCATAGGGATTATTCCTGGAAGCTGTACCTATATCAGAAAGATTAAAAATAACTTTACTATATGGAAGTAACTATGATCCACAAAAATATATTCTATTCATTCCCAATGAAATGTATCCCCAACTCAATTTGTCCTTAGTCAGTTCCCCAAAATATCCACATTCACTCCAACACCACCTGATAGTAAAAGCAATATGATACAGGCAAAATTAGAGTAGAATGAGACAACAGACTCAACCTATTGTGGATAAAATACTTTTGTAAATTTTACAAAACCAAATGGCCATATGAACACACTGCTAGAACCCCAGCCTTGAAAGAAGCCTATTAAAGTTAGAGATCCTGAATCTTAAGCTTAACCTTATTGTATTCCCCCCACCTCCTCCATCATTGGGTCTCTCTCCTGACTTCTCCCTGGATTTCTGATTCTCTCTCTCTTTTTCCCTCCCTCCCTCCTTTCCTCCTTTCCTCTCTCTCTCTGAAGTCTCTGCAGACTGCCTCTCTCTACTTATCTATGCACACGGTCCAAAGGTGGCTGCCTGAGCCCCTAGTACATATTCCCCATAGAATTGCCACACGCCAGCTCACCAACATTCGTCTGTCCAGTCTCCAGAGAGAATATGATGCTCTTCATCCTAGTTTATTAATTGGCTTTCTTTGGTTCAGGTTTTCAACTTTGATCCCAATCAGCTGATACTAAGTACCGTGTTTCCCCAAAAATAAGACCTAACCAGAAAATAAGCCCTAGCATGATTTTTCAGGATGCTCGCAATATAAGCCCTACTTACCCCAAATATAAGCCCCAGTTAAGATTGTCAGCCAGACATGACTGTTTGAATAAATGTAGATTTTTGTACATGAATAAATGAATAAATGTAGATTGTTGGAGCAAAAATTAATATGAGACCCGGTCTTATTTTCGGGGAAACACGGTATAAAGTCCCATAGAACAAGTGCAGCTTTAGGGTCCCATCCTGTAAGTGCACTGAAGATTGAATAATTCATGGAAAATGGGAATGGGCTGACTTGGCACCTCAAAAGGCAGTACACCACAGCAAAGCTGATTAGGATCAAGCAATAGGTACAGCAAGTCTTCTCCAAACACTTAATATGCAAATGTATGTGGGATTTTTCTCCAAGAAAGACATGTTACTTACTTCCCAAAGTTGTACTCACAGGGATCCTATTCTGGGGGGAGGTGGGGGATGGCTCATAACAATAGTATTCTGAGGAACACATTTTGAGAAATGCTGGATTAAATAATAATAGTTAATATTATTAACTCAGTAAAATAATACTGTTTGTCTCCTGCTGGATCAATAGATGCATTCTTTTTTTAAAGATTTTTTTGGGGAATCGGGAAAGGGGAACAGACAAGTTGAAGTCCTTTTATTCTTCAGTCTAGTTGTGGAGGACGTCGCTTCACTGGCCCATGTTGGTATTATCATTGTGCTCTTCCTGGGTGAGGCAGTCGTTTGCTGGCCATTGGATGGCTGCTCACAGGGGCTCACAGTAGCTCATGAAAGCTGACTCCCACTGCTGGCCAGCCCCACTGCAGCCTGCGCCATCACCAGTGATGCACGGCAGCCCAGCTCCAGGTCGAGCTGTTGTTCACTATCTTAGCTGTAGAGGGCGCAGTATCACTGGCCTTCATGTGGGATCTGAACCGGGGCGCTGCTGCTCAGGGCTGGCGTCCCAAGCCAACTATTAACCAATGCGCCACTCGGCTGGCTCAATTTTTAAAATCCTTATACCAGTTCCATGTGGTAGGTTCTATTTTTACAGATAACGAGGTTGAGGCACAAGAGAAGTTATGCAATTTGGCCAAAATTCAACAAGTAGAGAGTGGGGGTGCCAGGCAAAGCCTCCTGTTTAACCTCTGTGCTACATAACTTCCATGATCTCTTTAAGCTCTGAATCCTATGATTCTTCTGTGACCTTTGGTGTTCTATATTCTGCAACATGTGAAAGGACTGTTCCAACATCAAGTACGAAGGATGCTTTTTCTTGTTTATTTTGCCTTGTTACAGAACAGCACTTGATCTCATCACCTACATTTCTGCCTTTGAATCATAAATCCTTAGTGTTAGAAGACAAGGCCTTAGAGTTAGAAGACAGGTTTCCACTTCCTTTCAATTCAAAACTGTTTAAATATGCTGTTATTAGAGGTCATTGAATAAAGTGAACAAAATTTTCCTTGTTTCTAATTTCAGTAGGAATAAATGGTTTCTATTGCCAGGGTCTGCTCTAAATCCTCAAAGTATTGGCTAGTTAAAAACAGAATACCTGAGACCCTCTAGAATAAAAGAAAAAAAGACAAAGTGCAGAGGCATAAATTCCTTGTTCTTTGTAAAAACGGAGGCTTATATGCCACCTACTCTTTCATTTGAGTTACACTGTACTATGTTGTTTGTCCTCATCAGGAGAAAGCATAATGCTTCAATAGTGTAAATTATTTTACATAAAACATGTCTCTCTATATTGCTACACAGACCTAGGTAGAAAATTAAGAGACTGTGGCAAGTTTTTAGAATGTAAAATAACGTAAAGTTCCAAATTATCCTGTATTTACCATACACTAGAAAGAATAATGATTTTCATCAGTTCCTAAGACTGAGTTTCCTGGTGCCTTAGAACACTTAGGGAAGCCTAACTGAAGATTTCTGGAGCTGGCACCTGATCTTAGTTTCAAAAACTGAGGAAGTAAACCAATAGGCAGGCCTTCCGCATCAAGGAGACACCCATGGGACTGTGTTTTTGGCTTATGAATTCCAAGCAAATATTATCTTGCGTTCCAGGCAATGAGCCTCTAACTTGCAGTATGTGATTTTTACTGAGCGACTACTATATGCCAATCTCTGATCCTGCAGCAATGAAGAAAAACACCAACCCCGTTCCTGTGGAGCTTACACTCACGCGAGACACGTTCATGCGTTCTACTGCCCAATTACTTAAAAAAGATAACCTCGCCACGTAATCTAAATTTGTAAACTCTGTCTTGGGCAAAGGAAAGGGCCCAGCGCAACCGTGCACAAGCTCGAACTCAATACCCAGCCCGCTCCAGGAGAGGACACGGGCAGCGGCGGCGCCCCCGCGTTGCGTCACTCCGAGCGGCGCGTGGTTGTGACGCTAGGCCCCGCCCCCTTCCCCCTTCTTAGCGCCCCCGCCCCTCGAGCGCAGTGCGCAGGCTCCTCCGCCCGGCTGCTCTGCCCTGGACGCGCGGCTCAGCCAGCGACGCTGCCTCCCGGCCCTGGCGCAGGGCGCTCCCGCTGCAGCCCGCGCCGCCGTGGTTGGTAAACAGAAGCGTCTCCGTGCAACCCCTCGCCCAGCCAGGCGAGCCCCGGGCGTGAACCGAGCTGACGGAGGATGGCAGCCTCCGGGGTGGAGAAGTGCAGCAAGAAGAAGACTGAGAAAAAACTTGCTGCTCGAGAAGAAGCCAAATTGTTGGCGGGCTTCATGGGCGTAATGAATAACATGCGGAAACAGGTACCGCCTGTGTGGGAGTGACGGGCTGCAGAGGGGAGGTGGTCCGGGACTCGGGCCCCTCATTCCCTAGGCCGAAATTCGCGCCCCCGTGGGTCGCGACCCTCCTCTCCTCCCTCTGTCCTCTCCCTTGCATTTGTCGCACGCACGCAAAGCTGCTGTTTAGGAGGGGGTCGCCCTAAACCGTTGTCGAGCCAGAGTGCCTCCTCGTCTGCCGATGCTGTGACTCCCAACTCGGGCTCCTGGGAGACTCCTCGGGCTGGCATTCGGCGTCGGGTAGCCGTTGTGTAACAGCAGCAGCCCTGCCCTAGTTATCTGTCTGGGAGGCGAGGATCCCTCCACTGGCGAGCCGTGTTTAGGTGTCGTGAGATCTTGTGCGAAGAAGCCCATTGGCACAGCCCAGCCCGAAGCCCCCAAAGAAAGGAGAAGCACTGCTTGGCCTGAAATCAGCTCCTCTTAAATAAGGATCCCCGCCCCTTTCTGCGGTACCCGGGTGGCGCTGGTTGAAGACAGAGCCTCCTCCTGTACGTGTTAATTTAGAACAGAAACAGTCATCGATAAATACGGTGCGGTCTTTCAAGGGCGCTGTGCGCCTCTGTGATTAGGAGGAGCCCTTTGTTCTGTCTCTGGTGTGTGGCGCGTTCATGAAAGCCTTCAGCAAGCCGGCGAAAGGTGGGTTTGTGAAAAGAATGGCTTTTAACGCCGGGGAATGTAGGCTAGAGAGGTTTTGTTCCTTTATTTTTTTAAATTCTGTAACATCCTTATGCCAATAAAGCATAGAAAAAAAATCACCTGGCTACTTTTTAACTTTGTTAGCTTTATTTATAGAAAATACGCATCTAAGGAGATCTGTGGGAATGTTTCGGTTTTGGGGACAGTGGTCCTGTTTTTTAAAGAGGATAAAAGCAGGTTGTGAGCATGAGTAACTGCAAAACCTAATTTGCTTATCTAGTGGCTTTGACGGGAATGTGGACAACGGAAGATGTTAAGATCTTCGTGAAGTTATTAACTTTGGGTTTCTTTAAGCGAATTCTGACTTCTGGGATCTTGTCTTTGTTCATCAGCTCCTGGCCTGGTTCATGAATACAGTAGACATCTGTGGGGAAGCCTTTCCATCTTTCCTGGCCTTTAAATCTTTGTGCTGAAGTAGCTGTGAATGTCTCGGTTCAATATTGTATGTAACTTCCATGTATTTATTTTCATGTGTACATTCATGTTACTTTCAAGTAAAGCTTTTTATGTTTACTACACCACTGACTTCAAATTACTGATACATTTAACTACTAGTATCTGCCTGGAAACTGTAGTTGAACACAGTTTACCAACCACCCAAATATGTTTGCTCCCACTCCCCAAATACGTGTTTTCCTCCAAGGACTATAACATTGTAAAGCATTAACTCATTTCTTACATAGGCAGGGTGCAGCTGGGTTGTAGCAGCAAATGTTTATTTGCGGAGGAGAGCGTTGTCTGAGATTGTATATTGAGCTCTTTGGGTTTAAAAAGAAATATCCATTTCTTAGACTTAGCTTTAGATATATTAACATCTGTTTATTTACTGTCAAAATTGAAATACAGTTACTAAAAAATCAGGATTCTGTTACTAAGTAGGAAGGGAAAATGGATACTGGGTGGCAACCAGGGGTCTCCTCCACAGTGGTTAACTGATCTTAATCTGCCAGGTTCCCCTTTTGTCAGTGGCTTTTCATGGTAGTCAAACACTTCTCTAATAGCACTTTTACCAACTTCATGGAATGCTGCATCTTTTGCAAGATGCACAGACTCACTTTGCAGTTTATTTGCATTGTAGTTGTATTGTTCTGTTTAACATAATACAGGAGAGACACCAAGAATGACTGACAAAGGCAGTTGATGGGAATTGGCAGAAATAGAAGCTGGTTTGAGCCAGAGGAGGAATGTTTGAGTGAGGACTAATTTTATAAGTGTTCTTGTTCTTTCGTGAGTATTTTTGTGTTATGCCTATTTTTGCTTCCCCTTATGACCTCATTACTTTGGGGATCAGGATAATGAGTGCTTGGATGAAAATGCTACCTCTGTATATACCCAGAAACATTTCTACAAGAATTTAAGAACACTGTGAAATTAGAAAACCTGAATTCCAATCCCTGCTCTACCATTAATTAGTTTTATAATTTTAGATAATAAGATTTAGGTAATTTCACCTCTGTGTAGCATAGCAGCCAACTATACATAGCAATGAAATGGGGTTCTGCTGAACCATCAACCTCAGCTTTTTATGGACCTTTTCCTCCATCATCCTTTCAATCAGTCCTAGCCTTTTGTTTTTAAGTAACCTTCCAATGAAGTAGCGGATTCACGGAAAAGGATACAAATCATAAACATGCTGCTCAATGAATTATTACAAAGTGACCACACCATCTACAAGCAATAGAACATTATTTATTTTTTTTTAAAGATTTTTTTTTTTTAATTGAGGAATTGGGGGAAGGGGAACAGACAAGTTGCTGTCCTTTTGTTCTTCAGTCTAGTTGTAGAGGACGTTGCTTCACTGGCCCTAGTTGGCACCATCATTGCGCTCTTCCTGGGCGAGGCAGATCAGTTACCGGCTTATGGATGCCGCTGGCCCCTCACGCTGGCTGCTGGCCCCTCACGCTGGCTGCTGGCTACACACGGTAGCCCATGGCAACCGACTGCAGCAGGGGCTGCAGCCTAACGGAGACTCACGGCAGCCAAGCTCCAGGTTGAGCTGTTGTTCAGCATCTTAGCTGTGGAGGGCAGTGTCACTGGCCCTCATATGTGGGATCTGAACCGGGGCCCTCTGGCGTCCCAAGCCAGCTCTTAACCAATGCGCCACTCGGCCGGCCCCAATAGAACATTATTAATATACCAGAAGTCCATCCGTATGGCCTTCTCAGTCACTGCTCCTCAAAAGTAACCACTATTCTATCACCATAGATTTATTTTTCCTTTTTTTGAATTTGTATAAATGGAACCATGCAGTATATATTCTTGTGTCTCAGTCTCTCAAAGCCAACATTATATTTGTGAGATTTATCTATGTTGTTGTGTATAGCTCTAGTTCATCCTCATTGTATTTAGTATTCCATTTTATGAATGTACCACAATTGACCCATTTTATATCATTTTGTTTTTTTAAAGATTTTTATTGGGGAATTGGGGGAAGGGGAACAGACAAGTTGCTATCCCTTTTGTTCCTCAGTCCAGCCGTGGAGGACGCCACCTCACTGGCCCAAGTTGGCACCATCACTGCCCTCTTCCCGGGTGAGGCAGACCAGTCGCTGGCCTCTGGACGGCCGTCCACGCTGGCTGCCAGCTACACATGGTAGCCCATGGCAAACCACCTGCCATCACGGGCAACTCACGGCAGCCCAGCCCCAGGTCGAGCCGCTGTTCAGCATCTTAGCTGCAGAGGGCAGCGTCACTGGCCCTCACACGTGGGATCCGAACTGGGACCCTCTGGCATTCCAAGCCAGCTCCCAACCAACGTGCCACTCGGCAGGCCCATATCATTTTGGACATTTGGGTTATTTCCAGCTTGGGACTATTAAGAATAGTACTATTCTGAACATTTTTGTACATTTTGTACATGTCTTTTGATGTGCACATGTATGCATTTCTGTTGGGAAATACCTAAGAGTAGATTTGTTGAGTCATAGGTTATGCTACATAAAGCTCTGATAGGTACTGTCATACAGTTTCCAAAGTTTGTCCATTTGCATTTCTGTCAGCTGTGTGTTGAGAGAGGCTTTTGCTCTACATCCTTTTCAGTACTTGGTATTGTCAGTCTTTACATTCTGGTGGGTGGATAGTGGCATCTTATTTAATTAGATTGCACACCTTATCATTTATTTCCTTAACTTTTTGTTTACATTAATTTTATTACCTGATGCACTAGAGAGGGTCTCTACAAAGCAGAGCTAGGTCACAGTCACTGCCGTGCATTGGCAATTGTTGCTGTCTTGTTAATGAAGTCCAGAAGACCCATAACATTTGAGGGATATGTTTTGAGACCTTCCCGAGTACCGCTGTAGTTTACAGTTTCCTCACGTTAAATGAATTAAAGCATAAATGGAATTTAAAAGCTTATGTTAAAGTCCTATAGAGTTATATGAGAGAACCACAAGGCTGACTTGAAGATTGGATGCTATGCAGTCAACTGGGCTTACTTACTAACTAAAATGGCTCTGCTGCTCCAAGACTGCAAATTACTCCATGTCATTAATCTTTAGGGTCTCTTGTGAAACACTTCTTGAGCACTTATTCTCTACCAGCCATTCTGCAAAGTGTTTTACATGCTTTGCCAACTTTTACTCTAGTACCAACTCCATTGACAACGCCCATCATCCACACAGACCTTCCTGCTCTTAACGCTGTCTTATCTCTTTGTCCAGCTTAGGAGATAATCATCTCTCGCTCTCTCTTTGCTTTCTTTCCAATGCCTCAAGCTTTCTTAACCCTCTATCCTTCTTTCACATCTATCTGGCAGAAAGCGTTAATGGCTGTTTCCCTTCTTTGTGCAAGGCTTCCAAGCACAGCTGGAGGATATTCCATTACTGGGCAATCCTCTGCCAGGCAAGTCCCAACTTCAGCTGGGCTGTCAGTACTGGTGACATGTATTCTTTCCATGTAGTCTACTGTCTTCCTCTAACTTGAGTCCTTTCTCTGTATCCTCACTTTCTGTAGATCATTCTTTTGACATCACAAATAAATAGAAGTCATTATCCTGGAACTATCTAACTTTTAACTTCCCACCAACAAATCTATAAACCTGTTTTGACACTCTCCTTTTCCTGTTTTGATTCTGCTGCAGTTGAGAAGCTGCCTCTTTTCCATCTGAGCCCAGCACTTCCATCTGGGCTTTGACTCCCCTAGTACTATAAGCCTGGTCAGAAAAGTTACACTGTTGCCTATTCCATCTGTTGAGCATCTTTAATTTCTTCTCTGCTGGAGTCTAGCTATCAGCATTTAGGCATGTTTTAACCTCTCTAGCTTTTAAACCAACAAACCAATCCATCCATTTGGAGTCTCAACATTCCCTGTAAATAATACCTCTCTCCCCTTTGTTACAACCAAAAAGTGGGTAGATTCACTGCCTCTTTGGGCTCACTGTTTATTATCCTATCTCAGTTTGGCTTTCTGACTCATGATGAAGAATTATTGAGAACCCACTGTGTGCTAGACAATTTTGTTAGATTTTGGGGATTGAAATGGTGAGCAAAACCTAACAGTTCCTGTCCTTATGCAGTTTATAGTCTAGTAGGAAAATGAGGTATGAGGTGTGATCAAAACATGGCGAATGTTTAAATAAAAAAAATTCATTACAGTAAAAGACACATTGCTATTAATCCCCCTTGCTTTGAACACACCTATCCCATCGTTCTTGCCACTTTCTGAAGCAGTTCTGGAAGTCCTCTTTTGTGAATGTCTTTAGTTGCACTGTCGTGGCTGGCTTGATGTCTAGAATTGATTCAGAACGCTTACCTTTCATGTTCATTTTGATTTTGGGGAAGAGCCAGAACTCGCACAGTGCCGGATCTGGGAATAAGGTGGATGAGGACACACCGTAATGTTTTTATTTGACAGAAATTGCCATACCAGAAGTGATGTGTGACATGGAGCCTTTCTGTTGTGATCAAAATATACAGTGAGGGGCCGGCCGAGTGGTGCGATGGTTAAGAACTGGCTTGGGACGCCAGAGAGCCCCAGTTCAGATCCCACATATGAGGGCCAATGATACTGCCCTCTACAGCTAAGATGCTGAACAACAGCTCA